AGAAATAGGTTAACAAAAGCAGAAGGGATACTCTCCACTCCGTCAGAAATGTCCTCTACTGGCTGAATTTTCCCAGCACGAAGGTACTCAGAAGTTCTTGACACAAATTCTGGAATTAGTTCCAAGTAATCTGCGCAGGCCGAAAACCCCTGTATTGTGATTCTTTTGTATATGACATCCACCATATTAGGTGCAGCTTGTCTTCCTGTTTTTGTGTACTCCGAAATGACCCCGCAAACAGCAACCCTACCGAAGGGGTTCATCCTATAAACAGCTGCTTCTTGCATCTCCCCTCCCACGTTGTCAAAATATATGTCAATTCCATCAGGAAAGTGGCTAATTAATCGGATGGAATCAAATGTCAGGAATTTTGACACCAATATGTTAATGTTAATATTATTTGCATTCCACAAAAAAATGTTGTTACCTTTCAAGGGCTGATTTTAGATCAGTTTGTTCCTTGTAGTTGAAGGCATCATCGAAGCCGAGCTTTTCTTTAAGCAGAGTTACCTACAAATTTAATCAAGTTGATATGATATTTCTAAGATAATCAAAACTTTAAGCAGAATTATTGTAATCATTGTGACCTTTTCTTTGGTTCCAGCACAGCCAACTACATAGCAACCAAACAGTTTTGCATACTGTCCGACCATATGTCCGACTGCCCCAGATGCAGCAGACACAAACACTTTCTCCCCCTTCTTAGGCTTGCAAACTTGGAAAAATCCAGCATAGGCTGTCAGTCCAGAACTGATCCCTGGAAATAATAATTAACAATTCAGCTTCAATTACGTACCAGTTTTTATGATTTAGAATTTAGATGTTAATATGAGCCTCAGCCTCACGAGAAATTACCTAAAATTCCCACATGATAAGACAAAGGAAACCCCATAGGATCTAATTTTCTCAACATTTCACCTGGTTTTATTACACTGTATTCTCCCCAAATAAAAAACCCAGCGACCAAATCACCCTTTTGAAATTCAGGATTCCCTGAAGCCATTACTTTCCCCACACCATAAGCATCAATAACCTGTCAAAAAATCAAAATAATAATAATAACAAAAAATATTTTTTTTTAGAAAACTCTTTAAGGATTGAAGCACTGTTATAGACCATGGCTTCACTCATCAGTGCTTCCTATACATACTTTTGAAAAAGTGTTTTACAATACA